CTCTCCCTCTCTGTGTCTAAAGTCCCCAGCTGCTCCATCTCTCCACATCATTGTCTCTGCCTCCATCTTAGGCATCACTGCTACTCTGGGTAGGGTCCCGCTCTCCACTCTTCTCCCTTCATGGTCCCAGGAACCTCCACTCCTAGGCTGAAAAGTTAATCACTCCTCTCCTTGCTACAAAACGTCTACCTTTACATTTCCAACACTCACAATCAGTCCTGATAACAAGTATTCACTATTCTATCACAAGAGACCTATCTGCATTTCATTTCATCAGACCCGCCGAGACAGGTTGTATACTACTCAGTAGAGATTCTACCCTCCTTCATGCCCTCTGGATCTAGGTTCCCTCTTGAAAGCTTATAAGCCAGTCACTTCTTGCCTTTGTAGCCTCCCCCATTTTGGGTAGCCAATGTCCAAGTTGCCCATCCCTGTCTACTCTGTGTATGGAGGGGGTGGGAATGATCCTTGCTGTAAGGATTTGTTCCCTCTTTTGAGCTACCGCATCCATAGGTATAGGTCAAGTTCATCAAATTGTGTCAGATTACTTTTTTTCCTCTTCTTTTTTCTTCTAGTTGAGCTCTGTTCATCTAGTCATTGAAGCCAGGTCATGTGGGTATTATCTGCAAGTGTGGGTGTTCTTATGCATATGCCCCTTTTCTTATCATCTGCGTGCTTCACTCTCCACTCTAGTCATCTGTGGCTATGTCACTAACTCTGGGCCCGAGAGTCCCCAGGTCTTGCCACACTGCTGGGCAACCAGGTCTCCACCTGGGTTCATAGATGTCTATTGGACATTGTAGGGCTTAGCTTGCAGCTTCATTGTTGTTTTTTCCTCATTTCCCCTTATTGGTGACGACCATGGTCACTAATCAGAGTGTGTATTCCCATTGAGTCTTAGTCTTGGAAGGGGTTTACACTGATGTGACCCGACTACTTGCCTTGGTGTCTCCTGGGCAAGCAACTTGCTTGTTCTTGTTGTAACAGTCGGTCTGCCTATATTGTTTTGTATTTTTCCTGTCGGTCTTTCTTTCAAGAAGTATCTTCTGTTCTTCTAGCTGTTCCAGGCTGGCCTGCCCATCCTTTCAAGTGGAAATTTCCCAGCTCTGAAGATCTGGATGTGGTTCAGGCTTCCACCTATAGTCTTATGTAATGCAGAGGCTCCGCAGGAAGCCTCCTTCACTGAGCACGTTGTAGCCCCATTTTAGGTGTTCCAATCAGTTATAGGCAGAAGATGGACTTACAAGCTTTCTATGGTGATGTTTCTGGTTATTCCTTTCTCTCCCTCTCCAGTGTCTTATTTTATAATATAATGCAAGGAAAACCAAGATTCAAAAGACAGTCAAGCATCTTAACATTATTTCCCCCCTTTTCCACATTCCAGCCATGTCTCAATCTCTGTATCCCAGATCCCTGTTGTTCCAAGGTTGTGCATACATCATTCTTTACCTCTGTCCCACTTAGCCCATGCAAACCTGCCTAATTGTTCTCCCATCTGCTTTGTTCTTCCATTCTTCCATTGCCCCCCTCCCCAGCACCCAAACTATCCTATGTCTATTCTCTGCCCTGTGTGGAGCCTTGTTTTTTGCTAGTGTTTTCAGTGCTGCTTGGACTTCTTCCTTCAGTGCCATCAATTCTTGATCATATGCTAACTCTTGAAATGTTTGAACATCAACCATTTCTTTTTGGTACAGTGACTCTGTGTTCTTTTGATACTTTCTTTATCATTCAGTATTTTGCCCATAGAATCTTTCAATATTGGAACCTAAGGCTTGAATTTTATCCTCAGTTCTTTCAGCTTGAAAAATGGTGAGTGTGTTCTTCCCTTTTGGTTTTCTAACTCCAGGTCTTTACACATTTCATTATAATAATTTGACTTTGTTGTCTCGAGCTGCTCTTTGAAGTTTTCTGTTCAGCAGTTTTGCTTTCTCCTTTCTTCCTTTCATTTTTGTGGCACTGTTGGATAGGCACTAGACTGCTAATGCAAAAGTCATCGGTTCAAACCTATTAGCCACTTCTTGGAAACCTATACAGGGTTGCTGTGATGGCAACAAGCTCTTAATAATAACAAGAGCAAGTTTCAGAGTCTCTTCTAACATCCATTTTGGTATTTTCTTTGTCTGTGGTCTTCAATCATTAGTGTCTAATGTATCAAATCTTGAGATGGTCTCTAAATTCAGGTAGGATATATTCAAGATCATATTTTGGTTTTCTTGAACTTGTTTTCATTTTCTTCAGCTTCATTCTGAACTTGCATATGAGCAATTGGTGGTCTATTCCACAGTCAACCCCCGACCTGTGTTAGCTGATGTTATTAAGTTTCTCCACTGTGTCTTACACAGATGAAGTCAGTTTGATTTAGGTGTATTCCATCTGGTGAGGTCCAAGTCTACAGTCACCTTTTATAGCGTTTGAAAAAGATATTTGCAATGAATAAGTTGTTGGTCTTCCAGAAGTCTATAATGCAATCTCCAGCATCATTTCTATTACCAATGCCATATTTTCCAACTACTGTTCCTTCCTCTTTGTTTCCAACCTTTGCATTCAATTGCCAGTAATTATCAGTGCACCTTGATTGCCTGTTTGGTCCATTTTGAACTGCACAAGTTGATAGAATTCTTCAATTTCATCATCACTGGCTTTAATGGTTGGTGTGGAAATTTGAGTAATGATGGTATTAATTGGTCTTCGTTGTAGGCTTGTGGATATTATCCTATCACAGAGAGCGTTGTATGTCAGGACAGATTTTGAAATGTTCTTTTTGATGATGAACGCAACTTCATTTCTCTTGAATTTGCTGTTCCTGGCATAGTAAACCATATGATTGTCTGATTCAAAATGGCTAATACCTGTCCAGTTAAGCTCACTAATGCCTAGGATGTTGATCTTTATTTATTCCATTTCATCCACTTCCAATTTTCCTAGATTCAAACTTCATACATTTCATGTTCTAATTAGTAATGGATGCATGCAAGATGTTTCTCCACAAGTTGAGTTGTGCCCCATCAGCAAATGAAAGTCTCAAGAGGAGGCAACTCTTCCTGGTCATATTTTGAGTGCCTTCCAACATAATCTTCCAACACTATGTTTGACAATATTCTGCTGTCCTGGTAACATAATGGTTAAACATTGAGCTGCTAACCACAAGGTTAGCAGTTCAAATCTACCAGCCATTCTCCACAGGAAATAGATGAAGCTTTGTGCTCATCTTAAATATATACAGCCTTGGAAACCCTATTCAGGGTTGCCGTGAGTTGGAACTGACTTGACAGCACACTATCATGACCAAAAGGAGCTCTAGTAGCGTAGTGGTTACGAATTGGGCTGCGAACCTTAAGGTCAGCGGTTCGAAACTACCAGCTGCTCCATGGGAGAAAGATGAGGCTTTCTACTCCTGTAAAGATTCACACCCTCAGGAACCCTGTACAGGGTCGCTATGGGTCAGAACCAACTCGACGGCACTTAACAACAACAACAGTCACTACCAAGCATGATGTTTTCATTTTCCAGTACTATATCTGACAATGTTGTACTAGAATTCATAAAGGTTTCAGTGGTTAAACACTAAAGAAGTAGCCTGCCAATCCTTCCTAGTCTGTCTTTGTCTGTAAGCTTCATTGAAACCTGTGCACCATGAGTGACCCTGCTGGTATTTAAAATACCAGTGGCATAGTTTTCATCATCACAGCAACTTACAACCTACCACAGTACAACAAACTGACAGACAAATGGTGGCAAATGTATATTTGCTGTTAAGCACCGTCAAGTAAGTTCTGACTCATAGTAATCCTGTATGGGATTTCTGAGGAGCAAGTTGGTAGGCTTGAACTGCCAACCTTGTGGTTAGCAGTCCAGTGCGTATCCTACAGTGCCACACCAAGACTCTGGAAAATGTATATTGTTTGTTGTTAAGTGCCATTGAGTTGGTTCCTTTATAATTTTGTTAATTTATCTTATGCTTAAAAATTTTTTTCTTACTGATAAATAATTATTAAAACAGTAAAAAAAAATTAGAAATACATTTCTTAATAAGATGGAGTGTTGATTAAAGGAGGCTTTCCTGATGCCAGTACTCTGGCTTGTCCTTGGGCTATGGTAAGAGGAGAGTTGTGTCTTTATTTTATAAAGTGGGAGGATGACATTTGTGAAAGGAGAATCCAATTGATGCATCACTGAAACTCAGCTTGGTATTAGAAAATAGTGTGGAAAAGTAGATGGAATTTGGTGTCAACTTGATGGTAACTAGCAACAGCACATTACTGTTAACAGACAACAGATTTTGTTCACCATTTTCTTTTGAACTGTGATTCCTTTGTAGGTCTATATCTGTAATATTGTTCTGTGCAATTTTATCACATGCAGATTCATGTAATCACCACCATCAAGCTATAGAATTGTTCCATCACCCCAAAAGAACTGCTTCATAGACCTTTTGTATTCACACCTACCTCACACCCCTCTACTTCTCAATATCATACAATCATCCCTCCCTCCTTATAATCCATTCATCTGTTCTCCCTCTCTATAGTTTTGTCATTTTGAGACTGCTGTAAAAGTGGAATTATATAGGACTGTAGCCTTTCAAATTGCCTTTTTTCCCCATTAAGCATAATGCCTTTGATGTCCCTTAAGGTTGTTGCATGTATCAGTAATCCATCTCTTTATATTACAGAGTAATATTCCATTGTTCTTCTCTTTATCCACTGAAGGACAGTCAGGTTGTTTCTAGTATATTGCTATTATGAAGAAAGTTTCTATGAATATTTGTGAATAGGTTTTTTTGTAAGCACAAGTTTTTGTTTCTCTCTCTCGAGACTATAAATTTCTTGTCTGATCTATACTGTACAGATTAAGAAAAATCTTCCTGATCACTTGATTAGAGGTTAATAATAAGTGCTAAGACTCCTAGAAGTTTTATTTAAATAAGACCATCTCACTATAAAAGACTAATTGAGATTGGATTAAATAGACTTTAATGTAATGCTTTGTGTCTCTTTTAGACTCCTCAGACAACAAAGAGAAGAAATCATTTAGTCTTGAAGAAAAGTCCAAAATTTCAAAAAACCGTGTTCATTATATGAAATTTACAAAGGGTAAGGTTTAACATTTAAATGTTGTTGTTGAAATATGCATGTTCTTACTGAGTTTTTAAAGCTTTTTTTAGCTGGTCATCAGCACTGACTTCCAGTTTTATGACAAAGCTGGGAAGTATGCACAGCCTAATTAAATTGACCTAGAGCAGTGCTGAATTATCAACATTTATAGAGCTTCACCTGGGGATCACTTGCAGCGTCAGATTCATTGTTTGTGAGACATGGCCTGTGATTAAGTGTTGGACTACATAAAAATCCTATGGCAAAGTTGGCAATGAAAGTCAACTTGCTAATTTGAGGTTGAAAGGGACTACATTCTCTAGGTAGGTAAGAAAAAAATTCAAGAGAAGAAAAAAAAATGCTCAACATTTTTATTTACATTCCTCTGTTATTCATAGTGTAACATTGATGTTGACTAGCTCCTCATGTACCAATTTAAAGAATTGACATTAACGTCACCAATATGATAACTATTACCACTGGGTTGGCCCTTGTATTAATTCATACAATTTCTCCATATATTGGAGGATTTACTTAGTTGTTTATGTTTGAGAAAACATGTTTGAGAACTGGGTGTAAATCCAATCTTTATCCCTGCCTCCCTTTCTCTTCCCAATATACAGACAGCCCCTGGCTTAGCAATGCCCCACTTACCTACAATCTGTAGTTATCACCCACTCTCTAAATCCCACTGTATTGAAATGTCAAGTTCTGTACAGTGGGTTATAATAACACAGGTTAGTATAAATAACATTATAATAACATTTGATGGGAAATTCACATCAAAACATTATTATTATAATTTTTTATGTTTAAGATGTTTTGGTATAACTGGAAGTGTTTAATGTTTTGCATAGAAAGATACGTTATATACTGTATACAAAAACAGATGTTTGACTGACTGACATTAGATATGAACTGTACCTAACTTATGATTCATGTACACATTCAATTTAAAGGCGCGTGTGGTTGATTGTATGTTGTGCAGTTGGTTCTGACTCATAGGGACCCTGTATAGGGTTTCCAAGGCTGTAAATCTTTACAGAAGCAGAAAGCCTCATCTTTCTCTCATGGAACGGCTGGTAGTTTCGAACTGCTGACCTTGAGGTTAACATCCTGACCACTACACTACACTACCAGAGTTCCTTTAAAGATGCATTTGTTGTTTTATTGTTAAGTGCTTTCAAGTCAGTTCTGACTCATAGTAGTGGCTCTATGTAGGATTTCCAAGAAGCCTCTGGTGAGTTTGAACCGCCAACCTTGCAATTCAAACCCACCGTGTGGTCAGGGCTCCAAAGACACATTGAGGAACAATTGTTGCTGAACTTGGGGTCAGCCTGTATAACCATCTATGGGTGCATTTGCTCTGTTTGACCACTAGATGGTGGTCTTGCATTGCTAAGAAAGAAACAACTACCCCCAATCAACTACCCAATTGTTTTCCCTTAGAACTGTATCTTCAATTAAGTCTGCTTTCCATCCACTAAAACCTATTTATTGCATAATATATTTAAAGTGTAATATTGTGATAAGTATGCTGTGATACCTGATGAACATTTGATGGTTCTTCTATGGGAGATAGGATGTATAAACAGACCTTGGAGAGACTGCAATTTCAGACTGTCTCAATACAGTGAATATCACAATAAAGAAAGTCACACAAAATTTTTGGTTTCCCAGTGTTTATAAGAGTTATGTTTACAGTATCTTAAATCTATTGAGGGTACAATTGCTTTATGAAAAAGTTTGAATTATTTTGAGAATTACCAAACTGTGACACAGAAACACAAAGTGAGCACTTTGTTGGGAAAAAGGTACAAATAGACTTGCTCATTGCAGGGTTGCCACAAACCTTCCATTTTTAAAAAGCACAGTATCTGCAAAGCATTATAAAATGAGGTATGCCTGTACATTTGGACCTCAATATTCTTGGAATGGAGTTCTGGTGTGACATGATAGAATAAGCACTGGACCTCAAGGTCAGTTTGAACTGCAAAGTCAGGAGTTCAAACCCACCAGCCACTTCTTGGAATCCCTATACAGTGTTGCTATCAGGTGAAACCAACTTCACAGCATTTAACAACAACAGCGGTCTTGGAAAAGCACAGCTTTTAAACATATTTTGACAACATAATTGAAGATTTCCTAACTCTTGGTATCTACCTGAATAGTAGTAGGAACTGGAACTCCCTTTGTTGTAACTGATAATGGTTTAAGTGTAAGGCAGTGGCAGGGCAGAATAACTTCTGGAATATATGCAAGAAGAAGAAATGGTGCCTCACCCCCCCACACACACACACACACACTCCCACCCCACTTCCCTTTCCCAACATGTTTGCTCTATATGGCTCTTTTATGTCATTCTCTTCATCTTTCTGTCAGATTATTGTTGTTGTTAAGTGCCATCAAGTCGGTTCTGACTAACAACAACCCTTTATAGGGTTTCTGAAGAGTCGCTGGTGATTTTGAACTGCCAGCCTTGCAGTTCAAACAGCTTTTCAGTCTGGTGCATTAATCCACAGCACTCCCTCAAACGTCCCCCCTTTTTTCATTGGGCCCTATAGAAATAAATAGATATAAGCAAAGGGGAGCAGATTAATGAAATTAAGAGGGCCTGTACCTTGGTAAGGAAGCCTTTTATGCTTTCACTGTTACAAATAGAATCTTCTAATTTTCCTTGAGTATCTCATCTCACTCTATTTTAAATTCTTTTGATTTACAGAAATGAATAATTTCTTGTACAAGGCCAATGACTTTTCATTGCAAATAATTTTGTTCAACAATATAAATGGTGACTATGGGCCTCACCAGCAGGAATACAAAGGAATTGAATTGTTAAGAGATAAGGAACCCTGGTGATGCTATAGGATAAGCATAAACTGCTAACTGCAAGGTCGGCAGTTAAAACCCACCAGCTGGTCCACGGGAGAAATATGAGACTTTCTGCTCCCATAAAGATTCATAGCCTCAGGAAGCCTATATGTGATAGCTATTATGAGTCAGAATTGACTCAAGAGCAGTTGGTTTTGTTTTGGTTGGTGGAAAGAGATGATGGAAAAGTTCACTATCATCACTCAAAACAAGGCCATGGGCCTGCTGTTGAACAGACCATCAATTTCTCAGATGCAAGTTCAGGCTGAAACTGAAGGAAATTAACACAAGTCCATGAGTGTCAAAATATGACCTTGAATATATCCACCTCAACATAGTTAGAAACCTTCTCAAGAACAGATGTGATGCATTAGACACAAAAGTCCTAAGACTAGAAGAGTTGTGGGATGAGATCAAGAATATAATACATGAAGAAAGCGAAAGACAGGAAAAAGAAAGACCAAAAGTGATGTCAGAAGAGACTCTTGAACACTGCAATTGTTATTGTTGGGTTCTGTCAATGTGGTTCTGACTCACAGTGACCCTATAAAAACAACTGAATGAAACACTAGCCAGTTCTACACCATCCTCAGAATTGTTATGTTTGAACTCATTGCTGCCTCTGTATCAGTCTATTTTGTTGAAGTAGACTTCTTGTTGAGATATCTTCCTAATTTTTCACTGAACCTCCACTTTACCAAGCATGATGTCCTTCTCCAGGGTCTGGCCCCCCTGACAACATGTACAAAGAACAAGAGGCCAAGTCTCACCATCTCTGCTTCCAAGAAGCATTCTGGCTGTATTTCTCATGAGACAGATTTGTTTGCTCTGGCAGTCTGTTAGTTTCAGTATTCTTCACCAATATCATTCATTCTGATGCATCGACTCTTCTACGGTTTTCATTCTTCTTCATACAACTTCTACATGTGTATGAGATGATTGAAAATACCATGACTTAGGTCTGGTGCACCTTAGCACTCAAACTGACATCATTACTCTCTAATAGTTTTAAAAGTTCTTTTGCAACAGATTTGCTTAATATAGTATGTTCTTTGATTTTTTTTTTTTTTTTTTGACTGCTGCTTCCTTGAGTGTAAGTTGAGGATTCAAGCAAAATAAGCATATGCCAACTGCAAAGTCTGTGGCAGTCTGTTTTTCGTTTATCATGATTTTATTTATTGGTTCTTTTGTTAGGATTTTCATTTATTTACATCGAGGTGCAATCTATACTGAAAGTTACTGTCTTTGATCTTCATCAGTAAGCATTTCAAGTCCTCTTGACTTCCAGCAAGCAAGGTTGTGTCATCTGCATATCACAGATTGTTCATGAGTCTTCCTCCAATCCTGATGCCATGGTCTTCTTCATATAATTTTCTTCGATTATGTGCTCAACGGACAGATTGAATAAATGTGGTGAAAGGTACACCCTTGTTGCATACCTTTCCTAATTTTAAACCATTCCTGTCTGTTCCAATGACTGCTTCTTGTTCTCTGTACAGGCTCCTCATGAGCACAATTAAGTGTACTGGAATATCCATTTTTCGCAATATTATCCATAGTTTGTTATGATCCACACAGTTGAATGCCTTTGCATAGTCAATAAAGCAAAGTAAACATTTTTCTGGTATTCTCTGCTTTTAACCAAGAACCATCTGACGTCAGTAATGATATCCCTAGTTCCACGTTGTCTTCTGAATCCAGCTTGAATTTCTGGCAGCTCCCTGTCAATGTACTGCTATAATCATATTTAAAATTATCTTCAAATTTTTGCTTACATGCGGTATTAATGATATTGTTCAATGTTTTTTTGCATTCTGTTGGGTTACCTTTCTTTGGAATGAGCGCAAATATGGATCTCTTCCAGTCAGTTGGCCTGGTAGCTTGTCTTCCAAATGCATTGGCATAGACGAGTGAGTGCCTCAAGCGCTGCATCACTTTGCTAAAAGATTTCAGTGTGTATTCTCTCAATTCCTTTTGCCAGTTTTTCATCAGTGACTTCAGTGCAGCTTGAAATTCTTCCTTCAGTATCACTGGTTCTTGGTTATATGCTATCTCTTGCAATGGTTGAGCATCTACTAATTCTTTTTGGTGCAGTGAATATGATATTCCTTTCATCTTTTTAAAAATGT